TTATGCAAATGTGCCCATAATGGGAATTCACTCTCACCAGTAGTTTTTGAATGCTGGTATTGCCCTATTCTTCTTGGCTTTCTGTATCTCTGATATAAGCCATCCTGCACACAACTAAAGACCTCTGTTATGACCCAGGTGACACCTAAAGATGATGAATCCTTTACTAAGGTGATTCATAGCCCTTTTGCGCGGGATGAGGGAGCTTGAGAGACTCTGCTTTCATTTACTTTCAAGCCACTTGTTTGTCTTTCTGTGGGTCTGGAAGAGTCTCTGGAAGAGACTCTGCTAATGCATGATCTGATTAGTGGTGCTGGAACTGCTGCTCTCCTCGGAAACAATAAATCCCACACGAGGCCTGCCCCATTCTGTGCTGGGATGCCTGGGAGCCTTCCAGTGTAACCTTTGGCCATAAATTCGGCTCATCATCAAGCTTTCAACTAGTGTCGAAACTGTTTTGGACCCTTACTTAAGGGCTTTTTCTTAAGAAAAATTACTTAGAACTGTTATAATATGTGTATATACCTTATGTCTAAGTAAGAATTCTCAGGTTGAAATACTCTGAGATATAGCAAGAGTTTTCTTCATTGGGCCTCATTGCTCTTTCCCTTCTCTATACAATTAGTATCTTTAGAGTTGGCATTGTTCTCTCTGGCATCTGGTTGGTATGAACTGTAGAGATAGGCAGACCTGAGTTCACAATTCTGTTCTGCCTCTTGTTAGCCAGGTGATCTGTAGCAAATGACTCAAAACGTTGTGGACCCCAGCTTCTCCATCTGGGAAGTGGGAATAGTAAGAGCACCTATCTGGTAGAAGCTTGTGATCATGAAATGAAATAATACCTGTAAAGAACTTAAGGCCATACCTGATGTATAAGAAGTGATCGATAAATAGGCTTTTGCTGCTGACAATAGTTCTGGCACGTTTCAAAGGATACAGACCTTCAGTTATGAGATGAGTAGTTCTGGAGACCTAATGTACGGCATGGTGACTATCCTGAGTAGTAATGTATTATATACTCGGAATTTGCGAAGAGTATAGATTTCAAGTGTTCTCACCATACACCCATGTGCAAGAACAGCTACGTGAGGTGATGGGTTGTAGTAATCATTTCACAGTGTATACCTTAAATATATACAATTTTTCTTTGCCAGGTGTATCTCAGGAATGCTGGAAAAATAGTCATGACATGTTTCATATAAGTACTTTCTAACCTTCATCAAAGTAAGAATAAATAATGTCTTGTGCTTTTTTTCCATCCTTCTCTCCTACCCCAGTGCTTAGCATAAGATGCATGTCATGAATGAAAGAGCATGTACTTAGTTAATAAACATGAATTTACTTCCACAGAGTCCAAGTGACATGCTTCTGGGATACTTAGAGTTTATTTGGGTGGATAAAATACCTTATGTCTAAGTAAGGATTCTCAGGTTGAAATACTCTGAGATATAACAAGAGTTTTCTTCATTGGGCCTCATTTCATTTCATGATCACAAGCTTCTACCGCTTTTTACCATACAGCAAACAGTTAATAATCGCTTATGTACTAGACATTGTGCTAGGTGTTGAGAATACAGACACATTTCCTGCCCTCAGTAAGTTCCCTACGTAGTATAGCTAAGCACATGTTAATGCAATATAATATCTGTTGACATAGAAGCAAGCATAAAATAATCAGGTGTTATGAAAGCCCAGACAAGTGAGGTAGGAGGTAGGGAGTGAAAGGCATTTGGTAGGTGGAGAGAAACCACTTGAAAACATAACAGGTGATTGAGCTAGGAGATACAGCATTATGTCTAGGTATGATCAAAAATAATAGTGATAATCGGGTGCGTACATTCTGACACTCTTGCAAATGTTATGAACAAAATGCTTATTTTTCGTACTTTGAATTTTGTGCAGCCAGTAATCTTGCATATTAAATGCCAGCTCTGGTGTTTGACGACATGAACACCCACTCTCTTGAACGGGGAACTTGAATGGGTGTCATCTGTGGTGTAAGCAGGTCCAGAGGAATTTAACTTTCTATGTTACTTTCAGAAGAAGGAAAGAGTGATGATTAGCCTTTCATATTCAATGATCTGTCCATCTCAAAAATACTATACATCTTCAAATCCACTTATTCCAAACATGGATACGTGGGAGATCCAGGAATGCAGACAAGTTGGGACAGAGGAGGGTGTTTTCTCATCCTTCAGTCTCACCATCTGTCCGCAGGGTCAGAAATGCTACACCAACAGTCCCGAGTCAATAACATCAACTGTTTGTAGGCGTACTTTGAAACAACAACAACAACACAAAAACCTCTGTTTATCATCATTATTTTTTTTCCTACAAATTTATTACAGAGAGAAAGTCCTCACTTCTGCCTTATCTTGAGCTTCTGGAGAGTACAATTTCCAGCAATATTTGCATTGATATAAAATTTCTTTGCTGTGTTGTCTTAGTGGAGGCTCTTTAGGTTATAAGTAACAGATACTGATTCTAACTAACTTAGTCCCAGAAGAGGTAATTCATTGGAAAAATACAGGGGTATTTCATTCAGTTTAGAAGCAGGGCGTTCAGTGAGGCCTTGGAAGGGGCTGGATGAGGATCTGTAGTTCCTGTGTGTATCTGCTTCCTGCATCTTTCTTTCTAGAGCTGAAAGGGGCTCCCCAAAATGGTGCCCTTAGCACATACCATCCAGAGATTCCAGATTCCCAGATGAGAGAATCTGTTTGATAGATCTTGAGTCATGTGTCTGTCCTTGGTTCAGTGAGAACCAGAGAGATGGGTTCATTTGGCGCAAACATGATGGCAGAGGCGTGAGTGTGTGTGTGTGTGTGTGTGTGTGCGCGCGCGCCCATGCGCGCAGGCATACCTCCGTGTGCACAGACTTAGCGTGAGTCAGTCATGGGCCAGGCAGATTACCTAGAGGTAAACATTTCCTCCAGAGGAAAACATTCCAGATACCAGGTGTAGTTACGGAAGGATGTTCCTGCACTAAGGATGGAAGGAAAATACATGGACATTACAGAATAAAGACAGGTTTAGGGTGGGGAGGGATTTATTAGGCAAGCTTCCAGGACTAGCGGCTGAGACTCCAACTTCCTTGCAGCCTTCTGTGAGTGCTTTGTCAGGGAATGTGCCCAGGGGCCAAATCACCCAGTAGGAAGGCTCACTGATTCAGGATGTTCTCCTCAGAAGCAGCTGCCGTGTTAGCTCTGTCATTCAGAACCAGAGAGAACATGATGGTTGCAGATTTCCCAGAAGCCTCTGGTGAAGCCCTTGGCAGGGAAGACACATTCTACCTTTCTCCACCATCTGAAATCTCCTGATGGGCAGTCCCAGCAGGAAAATTCCTGGTTTCCCTTTTATTTCACTGAGACAGTGCTGCTCAAGGAACAACACCAGGGCTCCGACTGCATATCACGGTTGACATTGGGGATGCAAGTGTTGGGAGAATGGAATCATAAAGATACTTTTCTCCTTCACATCTGGATTGCTTCCTGAGAAGCTGCACAGAAATCAAACTTATATTATTCCAGTTGTATTTTCTCTCTGCCTTGCAAAGTATTTTTGAGACACTTCTGCATTTCTGATTAATCTTCTGCTTTACTGTCTCAGGTTCTCTGTTCCTTGGTCTTTCTTTTGAGTAGAAAAATGATTTATGAACACCCTGCATATCCAAGCTCACTACTGCTTTACTCCATGTTAGTGTCTCTGAGCATCTTAAACTAATGATACCTCTCTCCCTTCACCAAGGTCCCTTTACCCCATCCCAGAACTTCTCTGGCCTTCTGTGAGTGCTGGTGTTCAGGCTCTGTGTTCCTTTACCTAGTAGCTGTCTCACTCAAGCTACTTCTATATGCTTCAGTTTTTACTTTTGTGAATAATGATATCTGGGTTCCTTATGAGTATTAAATGAGATCATGTGTGTGAACCTCCTAGAACACCGCCTGGCATATGGTAAACTCTCAATAAATGTTAGTTTTTTCAATTAATATCATATTTCAATTAATGGCATCATCATTTGTCAGACTTCCAAGCTAGGCTGTTCTTTCTGATTCTCTTCCCTGCCATCCCTCCATCAGTGATTCATTACAATCTTTGTAATTATAATGATAGTAATAATGTTAGTAGTCAGTGAATATTGAGCATTTAGTATGTGCTTTTACACTGAGCACTTTATACCGTTAGCTTATTTGATCCTCTCGATAACACTGTCTTTATTTTATTTTATTTTTTTAAAGATTTTATTTACTTGACAGAGAGGGAGAGAGAGAGAGCATGAGCAGGGGGGAGGAGCAAGGGGAGAGGGAGAAGCAGGCTCCCCACTGAGCAGGGAGCCCAACTCGGGACTCAATCCCAGGACCCTGGGATCGTGACCTGAGCTGAACATAGACTCTTAACTAACTGGGTCACCCAGGCGCCCAACACTGTGTTTATTTTAAAGATGAGAAAGTGGAAGCTTGGAGAGACAAGGTAACTTGTGTGACATTATATAGCCAGTGAGCGGCAGAGCTACAGCTTATATTTAGGGCCATCTGATTCCAAAACTCATGCTATTAGCAACTGTGAGTCTCTTTAACCAAATACAGCCCATTTTGGTTCTGCATTATCTCTGAAATAGTTCCCTCCTTTCCACCACAGCTTCTACAGATCTCTCTTCTGATCTTAGGGCAGTTTTCGGTATGCTCTCCCTGTCCCCAGCTTTTGTTTCCTCAAACCATCCTCCACCTTCAAAGTTATTTTTCTAAAACATTTAGTAGATTACAAGCCATCAATGGTTCTCCATTTATGAAATATGTTGGTCCTTCACAACCATTATTCCCAGTTTCACCTTTGTCGTTCAGTCTTACCAGATTGTCATCGATTCTTCTAACGTCTGTGCTCTCCTTCTCTTCTGTTCTTTTGCACAGGGGTCTGTCTTTTGCACAGTTGGGTCTGTCTTAGCTGGCCTCCACTCTCCTCACTGGATTAACTTGCTGGTCTTATCAGACCTTGTTCTTGTGTCCTAGGCTCCCATAAGCATTGCATGGAGAAGGAAGCCAGTAAATGAACTCACCTATGTAGAGACTGATGAAGTAAACTCCCAAGGTAGGTCTATATATATTTTTGTAGAGTAATTTTAAAAAATAAGTTCTCCTTTCTCATTTGTAATCTTTGTAAGTTTGGGTACTTTTGGTCATATGTTTCCTTAAAAATGGGACCTAGTCTAGTAACCTAAGACCTAATGTTTCTAAAAAGAAGTTTGGGGCTCTCTGTGAAAGTATTATCATTCTCTGAGAGGTAGGGTTTTTGTGTTTTTGCTTCATAGAAGATCCAGGAGGCGGTAATTAAAGTGATTAACAAGAGGATATGGGTGTTTAAGTAATCAGCCTAACAATTATTCATTAGAAGTCTGTACCTCCTAGATAGGAGAATTGTTAATTTAAACACATTTCATTATATCTTGGATCTTATTTTCTAAAGATGAATTATGTTGGAGAGGCCTTGTAAATGGAGGGTGGTCAGAGGAAAAAGTACTGGAAAGGTAGTCAGGAACCTGTTTTCTTATTCAGTCATCTTGCAACACCAAATATGTTGTCCGCTGCTCATAACCTCTTGTAAGTAAAACCATACCACAGATCCTACATCAGGGATGGCTCCGTGTGGACCTTGTGACCCTGTCCCACTCCTGCCTCCATCTCATGGCCCATTGGACAGAGAGTAGTCACCTGAACTAGTCCATAGACTGGTTAAATCAGGCATGGGAAGAAGATTGGGGTCAAACAGACTTTTTTCTCTCAGAGACATGAATTAAATACTGAGACAAGACAGACAGCCTAGTAGGAGCAAATGCTGAGTTTATGATATAGAGCAGTGTATTTTAGATACTGCCTGCATCAGAATCAACTGGAACTCATATTAAATGCAGATTCTCAGGTCCCATCTCCAGATTCATGGTTGACACAGATGGAAAGGGATATTTAAGAAAACACTCTCTCCTACTTATATTAAGGTTTACTAATCAAGGCTATATGGGGAGGCTTGGAAAACCATGAGGAGATATAGACAAGCTAAAGTTGGCAGGGAACAAGCATCATGAATAGGCAGAAGCTCTGTGGAGCTAGACAAATATCCTCTACAATTTATTGCTGTAGTTTCTTTGAATACAGGAAACCATTATGGCCAAGCTTAAAGAGACAACTAATTCATTGGAAGGATATAAAACCGTTCGCAGAGTATGAGGGAAAGGTGGAACATGAGGCTCAGAAGAGGAAGGGCCACAGGGAAGCTATGGAGTAGCTGTGGGATAGGAGCAAAAACTAATTATCTTACCAAGGCTCTCTTCACTGTTGATAGGAATGAGCCCCAACCTATGTTTTGCCATCTTTGTGCCACTCAGCTCAAGATTCATAATCTGGAGAGGTGGGGAATGGTAGAGCGAGAGTTTCTGTTGGTCAGGCTTAGGTCATATGCCCATCCCACTGTCAAGAGAGGGCAGAACAACCTGATTATCAGCCTCATTATGTCTACCCACCATGCAGGATAGGCATTCCCCAAAAAGATCGGGATATCCCCAAAGCATTAGAAAATGGTTGCTAAATATCTCCTAAAACAACAAATATCCTATGGAGTATCAAAACTCATATTGGAAAAGAGAAAGGCCAATATATGGAGATTGATATTAATGAACAAAAGTCTTCAAACTCCTACTGCTGGTGTTCCTAGATAGATTTGGGGTATAGAACCAAACCCCAGGGCCTACCATTCTAGAGGCCCAGTGTTCAGCTTTTCCTTAGTCCTCAGATATGTGTCTCATTCTGGTCACCACTCATTCAGCCCAAGCGTGTGTGTGTCTCTTCAGTTTGTTGTGGCTAAAAGTGAAAAAAAAAAAACTTTTGAGCTGTATCTTAAATTGCTGAGTGGTCATGGGCAGTAAATGTCTGTCTGCTTGGGCCTCAGCTTTTTCCATTTGTAAAATGAGGAGGGGGGTTATTAAGCCCTCCCCCCACTAATCTTTGCAAGAACAGTACTTATCTCCTTGTTTATTTCTCCATCTTGCTATTCACGATAAATTCAGTAAAGGAGTTGCCAAATTCAAGAGGAAAATAATTTTAAGAGTTTCTAGTTTTGTTTTGAATATGCATTTGATAAGCTTGTCTGCTATTACCTGGTCACACTCTCAGTTTGTCCTTCAAAACAGAAATGAAAACAATATGGCAGTGCTCCAAGCTGACCTTAAGTACTTTGGCATACATGCTCCGTGTCTGGCAGATAAATGACGTTCACATTGGATGTCAGTGCCTACAGAATTCCCATCTTGGAGAAATCTTGGGAACTAAAACCCCCACTAGTCACCCCAGTGCTAAGGCATAATCTACTTATGCTTACTTGTATTTTTCCAGCTAACAAGAAAAATCCTTACTTTTGTTTTCCCCTGCTTTTACTGGCAACAGAATTGAGACCTATATCTGCTTCTTGAGTTTCTCTTGAGAATTATAAAAGTAATCTATGAAATGATGTGTATTATTCTGACTACAGAAAGTACACTTGCTTAGGGGACTGAAAGATTACTTAGCTCACTTATATTTTTGAACACAGGTTATTGCTTTTTTTTTTTTTTTTGAGCTGTATTTTGAGCTCTTTGGAGGAATGAAGTAGTCACGGAATCTGTCTTGTGTCTAAAGCAGGAATTACAAACTTTGATGCTTATAGGGGCTCTGCAGGGCATGAAAGAATATATTAGTTGGTGTTATGGGCAGTGGACAGGACTGTGGAGGACACATACCCTTTTAAAGGAATGCACGAGATTCAGAAGTAGTCAATTCTTTTTTAAGATTTATTTATTTATTTTAGAGAAAGAGAGAGCATGAGTGGGAGAAGCAGAGGAAGAGGGAGAGAGAATCTCAAGTAGACTCCACATTGAGTGTGGAGCCTGATGCAGGGTTTGATCTCATGACCCTGAGATCACGACCTGAGCTGAAACCAAGAGTCAGATGCTTAACCAGTTGCACCACTAGGCACCCCTAGCACTAGTCAATTCTTGCCCTTTGAAAATGCAAATTTTGTATTGCCCCATCTTCTTATTTTTCAAGATGACTTAGAATTTGGGATGTTTATATAAATTCTTGTGATTTTTAAATGTTGGCATCTATTTTACCTAAAAAGGGAAAATATTTAGGTCAAATAATACACATCCATAGTCTGGATGTCACCAATTGTAAACTCTGCTCTGAAGGATCCCTAATATGTGTAGTAGAAGAATGAAAAAAAAATTCAGTCTTCCAAATGTTGAGATAAATGGTGTTAAAACTTGACTCATGGGAGTTAATAGTACACTTACTGGGTTGAGCACTGAGTAATGTATAGAATTGTTGAATCATTATGTTATATACCTGAAATTAATACAACACTGTAGGTTAATTATACTTGGATTAAAAAAAAACTGAACTATTTCTAATTATCTGGATGTTCAGCATGATTCAGTTGAATTATATGAATGGTTGACTAATTTTTTTGCATTTGATTATTGAGATCGGTTGTCAGAGAAATGCATAATGGAAGAGAAGCATAGATTGGCCTTTATAGTCCCAAGGCCTGGATCTGAGTCCCAGAGACTGTAACTTAGCCAGATGAACAAGGGTAACTTATATGACTTTGTTCATTTTTTTTCATTTGTAAAATGTGACAATAGTTCAAACATTATAGATATAGGTAAATATTAAATGAGATAATGTGTGTACAACTTACATACCTTGTGAGACTTTTCACCTTTGGCCTGACTCCATTTCTAAAGCATGGGCCAACTCAAAGTGCACCCCAACTCACCCCAATTTGGGATTGTCAAACCCTGCTTGTTGTCCCCATGGCCTTCTCCCTCTTAGATTGGCATTGTGCCCAGAAACAGAACCTTATTCTTCTGTATTTTCCTTAAAAACCCAACCACACTTAACATTCTGTAGACTGGTAACTTTGATATAGATACCTAGGGGTTGCAGGCCAGGGCTCACGTACACTTCCCTGTTCCTTTGTCTCTGTCTTATTCTCCATCTCCTCTACCTCCTTGAGTTCTTGCACCTTACCCTTGACTCACCCCACCATGTACAGACCCTGGGAAGTATAATCATCCTTCCTCTTCTGTTTTTTTTTTTTTTTTTTTTTTTTTTTTTACACAGAAAGTGGCCTTACTTGGCTAGTCTGACTTCCCCATCCCCTCTGGAACTCTAATGATTAAAATATTTTTCCACCTGACCCTCAGTTGATTTCCCAAAGTTCTCACCATTCCTACAAGGCTCTGTACATTCTCCCTTTTCCCTACCTCTCTGTATTTCTTTGAACTGCTAATTACTGGGATCTCTGATTATTCCCCTTTTCCCTGACACACACTTGGCAGCTTACTTGGGGGGTTCACTCCCTGACTCATCTCCAGACTGGTTAATCCCCAGAATTGATCTCCAGCCTGGACCCCAGCCCTGAACTGCACACTGTTTACTTAACATCTCCCTTTAGATATCTAATAATATCTGTCTGAAATTGTACATGTCCAAAGCTGAACTGAACTTCAGAACGTTCCCACAAAAACCTTTCAGAGCTTGCAGTAAGACAGGATGTCATTTAGTGTCAAATGCTGATAATGCGTTAAGTTATACGATGAGAACGGACTTTCTCGTATTTACCAATGTGGGAGGCATGAACCAATGGGGAAAGAACCAAAAGCCTGATTGGATTTAAGAGAAAATGGGAGGAGGAGGATTAGAGAGAACAGCAGTGACAGCTCTGGAGTTTTGCAATAAAGGGAGGTCGATGTTTAGGAAGAGAAGTGGGCTCAAGCAATTAAAAAAAAAAAAAAAAAAGTGTGTTCATTTTCTCCTGACCACTGCCATTGGTGGTAAACAGGGGCTACAGGCCTTTGAAGCGTCACAGGAAAATAGTCAATCTTCCTACCCCTAAAAATAAGATGCAAGAACACCACATCCACACGAGTGTGTAGTCTCCACAAGTAAGACTGACACTTTGGGTTCAGTTCTTAGGTAGCCAACAGTCTGGGAAAATTTTGAGATCCAATTAATTAAGTGCTGCCTGATTGGGTCCTTTGTCTTCAAATACATTTC